GCTGCTGGAATACAGAACGGTACCCGCCCCTCCTAAAAGCTCACAAAGTAGGCATTTCCCCGCAGATCACCGTCCCACCCGAGTTCGGGGGAGTGCACTGACAGATCTACCCGCAGTACTGTGCTTCTGACCTCTGCAGGCCTGGGACACCAGCCGGGGGAGGCTGATGTAAGGGGACTTTGCAGGGGCTGAGTAACAGGGGTTTTCCCCCATCCCAGAGCTCCAGATGTGTGGCTGTGAGGACTTCTTGCAGCCCAGCCTGCAAGCGAGTGATAACTCAGGTCAGGTTCTAGGAAAAAAAGCCCAAATTCATCTTCCCTTTTAAAGTATTCTGCTGCTTTAGCAGCTTTAACGGGATTAATGATGAATTGTCCTCCTGCAGCATATCTGGGGTGGGGGAGGTGGGAGGGGGAAGGGGCATGAAGAAGGAGAGGTGCCCAGGCAGAAGGAGCCTGCCTCTCAGGAATCCTCTCATCTCTGTCTCTAGCACCCTTGGAATTTGCCAGATCCAATGGGAGGGGCTGTGATTTCCAGGGTGCATGTGCCCCGTGTCGTTCCCCCCCACACACATACAGACGCACACATTTCCAGGAGCAAACTGGAGTCCCCTGGGTCAGCATGGCCTTTCTTGCTGCACTGGGGACCCCCTCATTTCCTCCACTCTTGAGGCAAACACATCTTAGTTCAGCCCAAGTCTAGACACATTACAGAGGAGGGAGCCAGGGGCCCAGGAGCCTTCGGACAAGGCAGGGAACACGCCCCATTGTCTTGCAGCTTCTACCTCCACCCCAGATGGGACAGGCGAGAAGGAGGATGGCAAGGCCTGACCAAAGGGCAGGGGCCCCTGAAGTCCACCCAGCAGGTGCCGTAACTGGGGACCAGGCCACAGTCACGAACAATCTTACGGAGTCAGGGTCTGTGCTGGAGTCTCGCCCTGGAGCCATCGGAGCCAGCGCAGGGCCCCAGCAGACCCAGCACAGGTTTGCCCCCACCCCAGCCCTGCGCTCCCTCAGGCTTCCCCACGCAGGGTCTCCTGGGAAGAACTGAGGATTGAAAGTAGGTCAGTTTGCAGCTGAGTTATGGGTCCTTCTCAACCACGTGAGGAACCCTGTCACCTTCCTTAGTCTCCACCCCCTTCTCATACCAAGGAGCAAGGGCAGGGAGACTTTGAAAGAACCGCATCTGGTTAAGGCCCGTAGGGAAGGAGGTGGGGAGCTCGCATTTAATGAGCATCTTCTACGTGTCCACACTGGGCTCAAAACAAGCCTGCGACGAAGGCACCATAGGCATCCCTGCTTTTCAACCGAGGAAACCAAGGCTCCAGATGCAAACTGACCCGCCCGAGGTCACCCTGCCCGGGCACACCGCAGAGCACTGAACCGTTCTGACCACAATCACAGAGCCTCCCCTCCTCCCCACCCCCAGCCTGACCCTGCTTGCCTTTCCTGGGACTCAGAGCTCGAGAACCCTCGCCCAGGAGCCAGGTGGCCTGAGTTCTGCTTAGCTCCCTCGGAGGACTTGCCCACTTCTGGTTAGTGACCCCCAAACACTGGGAGCTCTGGCCATTCCCACTCCCACGTCCTGGTACCAAACTCCATTCAATTCACAAGCAGCTGACACAACTCTACCTGTGACTCAGGCCAAACGAGCTCACTCCAATCAGAGCCGGCCGCACGATTTGCCTCCCGCACTGAGTCACCTCCCGCTGCGCTGGAGGATTCGCTGAAACTCACCACCTACTTAGCCACAGCTGCTCCAGGCGAGAAAAGGCCAGCAGAGGAGCTGGAGCCTCCCATGGTCCCCATGCCTGGGCCTGGGCCAAGGACAATCAGGTGTGACCTCAGAGCCCTTCCTGCCCAGGTGATGGATCCACCTCACCCGACCGTGGGATAACATAAGCTCAGCATGAGACTCCAGAAGCCCCCACTGTTAACCTCCCCACGCTCTGACCTTGTGCTCCGGCTGTCAGTTAGTAAATCCTGCACGGCCTAACCGGATCTAGCTAAAGTTTTGACTGAGGTTTTTGGAGTCCTGACAGGATCTTCTTAGTTTCTGGAAGTTCCTGTTAATAAGGACAGTGCCCTCAAACGAATCTTCCAATCTCCCCAAACCAACCCCACCTGCTTCGTGTTCACAGCTGAACTGCCCCAAAGATAGCTCTGGTTAGAAATTTCCTAATCCAAAAAATTCCTTAAATATCTTTCAAAGGAAAGAGGGGTGGGATCAAATTTATTTTTTATTAAAAAAAAAAAATTCCTTTTGACAGCGATTGGGTCCTGTAAGGTGGGTAGCCTGGGGGTTTCTGAACACTTGGAGCCCTGACAGGGCTGTTTGGGCTTTAAAAGGAAACACCAGGCTTCCTGCCACCGCGGCCGCGGCCCTGGAGCACTGAGAGCATCGCCTGAGAGCCTAGCCAGGTGCGCAAAGGTATGGATGTGGCCGAGGCCTCGCTCCCCAGAGGGCGCCCGCTCAAGACCTGCGCCCGCTCAAGACCTGCACCCGCGCACGTCCGCGTCTCCGCCATTCCGCTCCCAGATGCGCTTCCCTCGAGGGAGGATGGGCTTTCCGCTCGCTCCGACTTCAGCGAGGACCGGCCCCAGGACTGGCAACTAAATATCCACCTCGGGCGCGAGCGCTCTGCTGCTCCTGCCAATGATACTGTCAAGGTCACGGGCCCGAAGCCGAGCGCCCCGGGCTGGGGTCTCCAGCCGCGGGAACTGCGCCCGGAGCGCGCGGCTCCGG